GTTACACACACACACACAGTAAGTTCTTTAGTTGAAATAAACTGGTTTTTTTTTTATAAATGTTCTTTTGTACCTTCATGTACATTTTGTTGTGTAGTTGCTAGACACTTTGATTCCCTGAGCCTCGCCATTCTACTGTGTGATGTTAGGGTGCTGTCAAGGAACTGTCTTCCACAGTTCCTGTGTAGCCCTGGCTGTCCTGGAACTCACTTTCTAAATTAGGCTGTTTGTTGTTGTTATTTTGTTTGTTTGTTTTTTTTAAATGGGAGATTTGAAAAGAATTTTGTGATCTAGTTTTGCAAAATAGTTGCCTGGTACACGTCTTCAGTCCTAGCACTCCAGAGGCAGAGGCAGGCAGATCTCTTGTGAGTTCGAGGCCAGCCTGGTCTACATAGTGAGTTCCAGGACAGCCAGAGCTACCTAGTGAGACCCTATCACAAAACAAAACAACCCCTCCCAATAAAAACTCCAGAAAAATAAAAATAGGGTATGTGTTGGGGGTACAGTTTGGTGATAGAACATAGGTTTACCTTCTATAAGATCCTGGGACTATTGCCAGTACAAAACAACAACCCAGTAAGTGAGTACAGAGAGACATTCTAAGATGGCAACTGTTCTTACCTGAGCCTTCCTTATTTGCTTTACATTTACACAGCACCATAGGCCTCAATGCATTTGTGTGAGGATTAAGGGAAGAGGTTTCCTGATCCATCTGGTTTGCAGACTTGTACTTTAGGACAGCCACTGTTTACCTGTATTATCCTTTAAGAATGAAGACAAGTGTCCCAGCAGGCCCCATGGGAAAACCTCCAGACTTCTGTTCAAGCTGTGGACTTTGAACTGGGTCTTCTGAACAATGGGGCCTTGTGGGAATGGAGAGCCCTGGGCTGAGTCACCTCCTTCAGCTCTGAGTCCAGCATAGACCACTGCCCAGCTCACTCACAGAACTCTACGCCTCTGTGCTACAGGGTCCTGTGGACATTTCAGCAAATCATGCTATCTCAGATAACAGATGGGGTGGAAATGAAGACACAGGGCAGGAAGGGAGTTGTCATGTTTGAAGGTGACTGGGGCCTGTGAGAGTCCTCATCAAGTCCTGCTACCTTAAAGACCAGGAACAGGACCATAATCCTAACTACACTCCAGTTCACTGAAGTGTGTGCATATAGGGATGTGTGTGTGTGTGTGTGTGTGTGTGTTTAGAATGTTGGGTGTTGTTTCTCCAGAGCTGACCATCTTGCTTTCTGACATGGTCTCTGACAGGGACTTGGGGTTCACCTAAGCAAAGCTGGCTGGCCCACAAGCCCCAGGAATCCCCCTGTCTGCCTTTCCAGCACATGGGTTGCAAGTACATGCAAGCATGCTTGGCTCTGTGTATGGAGTCTGAGGTTCACACTCAGGTCTAAATGCTTGTGTGGCCTGAGGTAGACGGAGGAAACATTTTGGTTGAGTACTTGACCAGGTCTAAAGGCTCTTGGTCTCTCCCCTATAGAGGAGATCTGCAAAGCTGAGGGAACGAGATGGGATTATATGCTAGAAAATAGCCCAGGCCACTTGACTCTCCATGCTAAAATGGGCTCTAATCCATATTTCCTTTTTGGTATTGGATTAAAGAATGTAGGGCATCGCTAGGATTGGCTGTTAATAATACCCAGGACAAATATATGCTGTGAGAATTTGGGGGACGAGATAAGGCTGTAGGAAGGCTGCAGATGTGCCAGTTAGGCGTGCCTGAGAACACTTGTGCTGGTTTGACTTTTCCTCATTGTATCTCCACATTCCTCAGTCTAAATGTCTCCTGAGCAGTATCTTTTCACTGCGTTTAAATTAATTTTTGGTAGCAAAAGATGTATTCAGCCTGAGTCATTTGTTAATTCAGATAAAGCGGAGGGGGCTGGACTGTGTGTAGCTCAGTGGCAGAGCACACAGTTACCTCCCTAGCACATCACAACACTAGCACAGCCCCAGGCAGGCACACCTCTCCTGAGAGAGCATCCTGTCACTGCCAGAGTCATGCAGTCAGCTGAGGTGGTTCTGCTTTGGGAATTTAGCTGACTTTGACAAAAGCCCAGGACACCTGCATTGTGATGTGCCCCTCCACACTCCAAGAGTTCTTCCAGCAGAAGACAGCAAAGGAATGCAGAGGAGGCGGTTCCAGAGCACTGTGTTCTGTTTTCTAGTTGGTTGGTTGGTTTGTCTGTTTGTCCTCATCGAAGCACAGAGCAACACTAGGGCATACCAGCAATTAAAGCTAATCATTTCGTCTCATAAAGGTTACATTTTGCTCTATGTTTTTCCAATTTGCCTGTGCATATAGACTTGTTTGTTTGTTTGTTTGTTTTTTGTCTTTTGAGACACGATTTCTTTGTGTAGTCCTGGCTGTCCTGATACTCACTCTGTAGACCAGGCTGGCCTCGAACTCAGAAATCCACCTGCCTCTGCCTCCCAAGTGCTGGGATTAAAGGCATGCGCCACCACCGCCCAGTGCATATATAGTTTTAAAAAACAGTTGTATGTACAACATTAGAGAAAAAAGAGGCCATGAATGTCAATAGAGCAGCGAAGGACGTTAGGAGGGGCTTGGAGGGAGGGAAAGGAAGGGGAAATTATGTAATTACATTACAATTTCAAAAAGAAGAAAATTAGCTAGGTGGTGATGATGTGTTCCTTTAATTCCAGCACTTGGGAGGCAGAGGGAGGTGGATCTGTGAGTCTGAGGCCAGCCTGCTCTTCAGAGCAAATTCCAGGACAGCCCTATCTCAAAAATTAATTAATTAATTAATTAAAAATCCCGCAACTCAGGTATTCCCAGTAGAAGGCGCAGAGTTAAGACACAGAGAGAATAAATAACTTCAAGATCACAAAACAACAACAAAACCCAGTTGTATTTGCATTTGAAACATTAACATGCCAGCCTTTAATGAAGTATACAGAATTCAAATGCCCTAGATGTGACTTTGTGATTTCATTTACTTAATTAAAAAAAAGTCAGGAAACCAGTTGTCCAGTTGTAGGACCGAAGAGATGGCTGAGTGGGCCTGGCGTGAATACCACCCCTAGGACTCTGTAAAGTTGGAAGGAAAGCCAGGCATAGAGGACCCATAATCACAGCACTCAAGAAGCTGAGGCAGGAGCATCGCAAATTTGAGGTCAACCTAAACTACATAGTGAGCCTCAAAAAGTAAAATAAAAATCCAAGCTCCTGGTTTTACTTAAAACTGTGGTCACAAACCTCAAATTGGCTTTTAGAACTGTCCAGAAATGCTAAAATGTGGAAATTCACTTCCCTGATCTCTGGGAAGATACATGATGTCTTTTTCTCAAGTCTTCCACTAACACCCCCACCCCACCCCAGCTGATGGTGACATATCCAACAGGCCTTCACAGTATCCTGTTGTCTCAGCCTAGTCTGCCCAGGTCAGGTGATCCATGCCCCTCCTCTAGAAGGGGATTCAGGTTTCTGACACACCCTTTCTGATGATCTTCTTTTGTTCTTGCCAACTCCAAAGGTTCCGAGATCTCACGTCTTTCAGAACAAATTTTATCTCTGTTCTGTTTATTTGTTCTCTGCTGCCTTTTAGCAAGTCTTTCTAAAAAGGATTGTCAAGGTCATTCCCTCCACACCCCCACCCACCCCCTCCCCGGACCTCCCTCTCCCTCTAGTCCCGTTCTTGTCTCACTGAGAGCCTGTCAAAGTCAGCCAAGTTCATGTCTCTGGAGTGTAGCTTTGGCTGTCCTCTAGGCCAGGCTGGCTTCAAATGCACAGATATCCGCCTGCCTCTGCCTCCGAAGTGCTGGGATTAAAGGTGTGCGCCACCACCGCCTATTTATTTTTATTTTATGTGTATGGGTATTTTTCCTGTATGTATGTCATTGCACCATGTGCATATAGTGACCACAGAGGCCAGAAGAAGGTGTCAGATCTCCTGGGCCTGGAGTTACAGACAGTTATGAGTCACTTTATGGGAGCGGATACTCAAGCCTCAAGTCCTCTGCAAGAGCAGTGAGTTCTCCTAACTGCTAAGCCATTTTTCTAGCCCCCAAAGTTTTAGTTTTTTATCTGATTTTATTTGATTCCCTGTAATTAGAGCTATAGATGGTTGTGAGCCACCATGTGGGTGCTGGGAATGGAGCCCAGGTCCTCTAGTAGAGCAGCCAGTGCTCTTAACCGCTGAGCTACTTCCCCAGTCCCCAAAGTAAAAGAAGACTCCTGGTGTTCTCCTGCTGACCATGTCTCCTCTCTCTGTACCCCTCTAATAATCTCTGCCTCTGTTCCTCTGTTCCTCTGTTCCTGTCCCAAGTGCTGGGTTTGTTATTATGTCTCACATCTGCCTGCTTCCTGCCATCTCCATCCACAGCACATCAGGTCACCTCCACACCTTCCATGGCTCTACACCACTCATCCAATAAAAAGGAGTTCAGCTCCCAGCAACCACAAGAACCCCATGGTGGCTCACAACCACCTGTAATGGGATCCACTGCCCTCTTCTGGTGTGTCTGAAGATAGTGACAGTGTATCCATATACAATCAATCAGTCAATCAATCAATCAAGAACCATCAACGAATGAATCCACTGACAAGCTCCAGGTCTGGTGACTGCTTACCTCTGAATTATAACGCATCAGAGACCAACCCATCAACCCATGAGCCTGTGGTCCGCCTCCATGCTAAACCCATACCTCTTCAGCCCCAAGCAGATGTCAGGCATCTTTTCTTTGTCCCCTACAAGCTTTTTTGAGTGTCCGTCTCTTCTCTCTATCTGGTGGCTGCCTCTTAGTCAGAACTGACTTCCTAGGGACGGCCTTGCTCCATCCTTGTTTGTGTCCTGGACCCTAGCATATTCTTTTCAAGGCACACAGGAGACACTCTGGGTGCTGCTTTCATCAAGTGTTTGCTCCCATCATGAGCCTGTGACCCTCAGGAGCTGGCCGAAGCTTGTGGTGCTCCTCCAGTGTGTTACCCTGTGGGTCCCCAGCCAGTTCTCACAGAGGGAGTGAAGGAATGAACATGTGTTTTCTATCATTATTTCCAGGGGGTACACAGTAGTCTATAAAGGAATATAACCTAAGTTCCTCACACACTTTGGGTCCAGTTGTTCACTACACCACAATATCAGTAAATTAAGTGTCTACAGGAAATATTTTTGAGTAAGTGGTCTATTATGCTGACATTTAAAATCCTAGGGATCTGGCTGGAGCGGTAGCTCAGTGGTAGAGCACTTGCCTAGTGTGTGTGAGGGCCCAAGTTCAATCCCCTAAAAGTACCACAAGCAATTAAGTTTCAAGAAGTAGAAGTATTTCATATTAATCTTATTTTTATATTTTAATTTTTAAGGCAGGGTTACATAAGGCGATTTCATGCAAGTACATAGTATACTTTGAACTAGGATCTCCCATCTAGGATGCAGTTTTATTAACAGGAAAATGAGCATATAAAGTAAAATAAAAACATGAAATGTGATCTCAGCTATATGAAGGTACATAGAAAAGCTAGTATAGAATAAACTAAAAGTTAACTAAATACATCTTAGGTTGGCAAAATTGCAAATGATTTACCCTGTTTCCCTTTTATGGTACTGAGGATTGAACCCAAGACCTTGTGTTTGCTCATGGTGTAGCACACACTGGAGGAGCACCACAAGCTTCTGCCAGCTCCCGAGGCCTCACAGGCTCATGATGGGAGCGTTGGAGACATTTTCCAATTATTACCTAGGCTGGCTTTGAATTTGGCACCTTCCTACTTCAGCCTCTTGAAATAAGCATTAGATGTATTTTTAATATTATTTATCTGTGTTTTTTGACGTTTTGCATTGTTTTATTTTGTGATGCTCAAATATAATATCCTGGGCTCAAACCCATGCCTTACACTTGCTGGGCAAGCATTCCACCTCCAGGTTACACCTCCAGCCCCCTTTTTTTTTTCCCCACTTAGCCCACCTTGGCTTGCTGGCTTAACAGTTAGCATCTTCTCTTTTTGCCTCCCAACTGATAAGGTTCCAGGCATGTCCTACCCACCACAACTTGCTATTTTTGTTTTTAATATTCAGAAGAAAAGTTCCTAAAAATTTGAGAACGCCTCATGAGAGGTTGGATTATGGATGGTCAGGAGCAGAGTTAGGACCTCTGTGACCTAGAAGGGCAGGCAAGGACCTGAGTGCTGGAGACACCTGCAGATGTCTGCTGTGAGCCTTCTCATTCCAGGATAGTGGGGGGCCTGGCCTTTCAGAGGGGCAGGTCATATTTCCTACCAGGCAGCCCTTCGAGAGGGCTGTGGTGGTATAGAAACCATGGCACAAGCGAGCTTGGAAGACCTCAGGCCTCCTGACTGTGAGTTAGAGGAGGCATGGGCCTGAGACCGGGTCTGAGCCCTTTGTTTACTTAGAGCAGTGATCCTCAAATCTAATATCCTGGGGGATGGGCGTGGGGATGACACTCACAGCTGTCTCCATAGGAAGGCTGTGAAGTCATTGGCCTCCTTTTTATGCTCTCTGAGCCCTTTCCAGATGTCACCTGATTCCAGACAGGTTGGCTTCAGAAGCAGAAGGGACAGACAGCTGTCCTCTGTGAAGGCAGACATTAGGAGAGCTACAGAGATGTAAGACCCCTGCGTTCTCCCTATACGGTTACTGTTCACTAAAATATTATTTATGTAAACATACACTGGTTTGTTATTATTATAAATGACTGGTTTATTATTATTATAAATGAGTCAGTTACCTTTTTTTCAGTTTATTTTTGTTTGTTTTTGGAATACTATCTCCCTATATTGTCTAGGCTAGCATTCTACTACCTTTGTGTCTCAGACTGACATCAAATTCAGAATTTGCTTCCTCCACCCCTGAAGTTCTGGGTTTGCAGGTGTGTGGCCCCGCCAGCTCAGTTCCACTCTTAATGCCTACCATTATTTACTCACATAGATAATCTCTGGGGTCTTTTGTTTCGAAAAGCATAAAGAAGACCTCACTTTGAGATCAGAATGTCTAGGAACCAATGAGTTAAGGAGCCCAGGAAAGACCTGCCTCCATGGTGGCCTGTGAACAGGCTGGGTGAATTGCCTGTCTGGGGGAGCAAGCCTGGGGAAGAGGCCCTAGTAGGCAGGTGTGAAGGCCTCTAAAATTACAGTAACATATTTTTTTTTTCTCTCTCTCTCTCTCTCTTTCTCCTTCCCTCCCTCCTTCCCTCCCTCCCTCCCTCCCTCCCTTTCCTCTCCCTTCTTCCCTCCTTCCTTCCCTCCCTCTTTCCCTCTCCTTCCCTCCCTGTCCCTCTTTTCCCTCCCTCTTCCCTCCCTCCCTCTCTTCCCTGTCCCTCTCCCCTCCCACCCCACCCCCGCTCCTTTTACAGAGATCATGCATGATGTGATCAAGAAGGTGAAGAAGAAGGGCGAGTGGAAGGTGAGTGACTGCTCGTGGCCCCACAGCCATTCAAGAATGCCATGCAGGATGGTGACCTGCTTGTGACCGCAGCACTCAGGAGGTTGAGGCTGGATGGCTGGGCAAGTGGTTGAGTGCATTAGCAGAATCAGTGAGTTCTGGGGTCATCAAGAGACCTCAGCCCAGTAAACACAGTGAGGGCTAATGAAGAAGAGACCTGACATCAGCGTGTGCATTCCCTCACACACACATGGACCATACATGCAAACATTGTCCCTAACTACACACACAGAAGACATAAAGAAGGTAGAGCTGGAGTTGGCAGGGCGGTGACAGAAATGAGTGCTTTCTCCAGGCCCGAGGATGGCTTTGTGTGTGAGCTTGGTTCAGAAGCCTCTTCCTGGACATGGAGCTGGTGAGATGGTTCAGCAGGTAAAGGTCCTCTGAGGTAGGTGTCGCACTGGCCAGGAGCTAGTGGGCTCTTGGAACTTCCTCATATGCCACTGAAGGGCCTGCACTGTCCATTTGGAAGTTCAAATTTCCCTGGAATCAGGAGCGCACACATGCCCAGGCTCATTGGGTGTGAGAGCTAACTGGCAAAGGAGGGCTTTGAGGCCCAGTTCTGGCCCTATGGGGTTCTGTTTCAGTTCTCACAGGTTCTAGAGGGGAGGCCATCTGGTGGGAGCTCACTGGCATGTCTCTCTGTCACCCTCTCCTTTAGGCAGGACTTTGTAGATACCAGAATTCCCTGCTGCCTCCACAGATGAAGCCAAGGGGCTGCCGTAAGGCAGCAGGACCTTTGTGACCGGGCCCATGTGCGGTGATGGCTCCCGTGCTCAGAGCCTCTTCATGCGTTATATAATGAGGGAGGAGAGAAAGCCTTTTTACACTGTTGGCTTTTTCTTTCTACTGTGTGTGGATCAAGAGGACATGGGAAAGATGAGGCAAACCCTGCAGGGTGCCACATTCTTGTGCATCTAGTCTGGGCAGAGATGTATGCTGGCAAAGGTAGATACCCTGAAGGTAGCTATGCTGAACCCTATGAACCACGGTGTATGGACACTAGCCAGTCTCCCATGAGAGCAAGTTATGACCTGAAAACACCCAGAGTGTTGGTGCCACACATGAGTCTCTCCTTTTTTTTTTTTTTTGAAAAATTATTTTTATCTCATGTTCATTGGTGTTTTGTCTTCCATGTGTGTTTATGTGAGGGTGTCAGAGCCTCTTACTGGAACTGGAGTTAGTTGTGAGCTGCCCTGTGGATGCTGAAAATTGAATCCTGTTTCTCTGGAAGAGCAGCCAGTGCTCTTAACTGCTGAGCCATCTCTCCAGCCCCTGATTCCTTCCTCTTTATTTCATTTTGTATAAATGCTTAGGAGTATTTTTACAGTTATGAAGTCAGGTCAGTGGGAGCAAACACTATTGTCTAGAGGGTGAAGTTGGAGGTAAAAGCCAGTGTGTATCTGAGCATAGCTGTGGGTCACAGGGAAGAGCTACTTCAACATTCTCCCCTCTGGAGTGTTCTCTTGGGAGCCAGTGGGAGAAGGGCAGGGATTGCAGCCCTGAGCTGTCCTCTTCCTTCCAGGTGCTGGTGGTGGACCAGTTAAGCATGAGGATGCTGTCCTCCTGCTGCAAGATGACAGACATCATGACCGAGGGGATCACAAGTGAGCACGCTCTCTCCACCTTCCCCTGCAGCATGCGCTACCCTCCCTATTCATTACTGTCCCGTGAATTCACATGCTTCCAGCAACCCCTGTGGTAAGACTATATGCCCCTGACTAGAGTCCTCACAGAAGGCAGTGCTCGGTGCTACTTAAGTGCATGATAAAGGAACGCTAAATAGAAGGGCTAGGTGGAGAAAGACGACTGGGGCTGGAGCAATGGCCCAGTGGTTAAGAATGTGTACTGCTCTTGCAAAGGATACAGGTTCAGTTCCCAGCACCCACATTAGGTGACTCACTGGGGAATCTGGTGCCCTCTGCTGGCCCTCGTGGGCACAAACCCACACCTATATACATAATTTAAAAATAAAGATTTTGAAAAGCAGGATGGCACTCTACCCAGTAGAGGGGAGAACAAAACCACAATACTTAGGAGAAGTTCCCACCTTCATACTGATGAGGGACTTGACTGCTCCAGATTAGGGTTGGTAAGATCAGTGAAATGTAGAAAACTGGGATTCCCAGTGTGATGTCATGCCAGTTCACACAGCTGCTCCAAAAAGCACTTGGCAGTATTTGCTAGAGTTTGATGTATGTGTGCCTGGGACCCAGCAGGCTCAGAGTCAGATGTGTATTCCGAACTAATTCAGGTATGTGCTCAGCAAACATGAACTAGAATATCCACAGACTGTTGCTCACAAGAGGCCCACATGGAAACAACCAAAGCACCCATCAAGTATAGACAGACTGGGGCTGGTGATCTAGCTTGGTGGGCAAGGAAATTTGCTGCCAAGTCTGGAAACCCAGCTGTGATCCCTGTTCCCACGTAGCGGAAGGAGAGATCCAGCGTCCACAGGTTTTCCTCCAACCTCCATGTGCACACATGTACACACACATACACACTATGATCAGTCAATAAACAAGTAGAAAAAAAAGAGGAGATGGTTAGTTGGATAAGGTGGCACATGCCTGGAATCTCAGCATTCAGCAGTCAAGAGCGTTACCATAAATTCAAAAATAGCCTGGTCTATGTAGTAAGGCTTGGGTCGAGCCTGGGCTATGAGTGACATGCTGTGTCAAAAAAAAAAAAAAAGTAGAATGCTCACAGTCCAGCATATCTTTTAGCAATAGAAACAGGCAACCTCTTACTGACCACAGTTACATCATTGAGTCTAATAAACACAAGAGACAGAAAGAAAGTGGCTAAGGAGGTGGTTCAGTCAGTAAGGTACTGGTTGTGTAATTATGTGGGCTAGCTTTGTGTGGTGGCTCACATCTATAATCCCAGCATTCCAAAGGCAGAGGCAGGAAGATCTCTGAATTCAAGGCCACCCTGGTCTATATCACCTGGTCTCTGTCTATAAAGAAAACATGTAAACCAAAGCCCTGGGCTTTGCTTCATCCTGGAGCTGTTAGAAGAAGTGTAGTCACATGGACGATGTATTTGTAATGCCTCATGGGAGTGCAAGGAAAGTATCCGCTCCGAGGCTCGATGTACAGAGCTGCCAGTTGAACCTTGGGCCATGTGTACTTGGCAAAGTGCTCTGCACCCTGGGCTGTACTTCCAGCTCAAGATAATGGGTGACAGATGAGCCCATCATGGAATTTGAAAGGAATTCTAGGAGGTCATTTACATGGGAAGAACCTGAGGGGCAAATAGTCTGCACTTGACCGAGTGCAGCCTGTCCTCTGAGAACAGCTCAGAGGATGTTAGTGGAGTTGTGGGTGCCTGCTATGGTGCGACTCCACAGTTTCTAATACCTCAGGTGAAATGAAGCAGTGGGCTTCATCTCCAGGGAGCGTGGTGCTTAAAGAAGGGGCAGGGCTCTCTGTAGGTTTGCAAGTGTTAGCTTGAGGGCCTGGCCAGATAGCTTCTAGTTCTCCTGATCACCAAGGCCTGTGTCTTTGTCTAGTTGTGGAGGACATCAACAAGCGACGAGAGCCGCTCCCCAGCCTAGAGGCCGTGTACCTCATCACCCCGTCCGAGAAGGTAAGTCCCTCAGCGCTCCCTGCTCAGGCTGAGACATTGGCCTTAGGCTCTGTGGCACAGAGCACCTGACATTTCTAGGTTAAGCATGCTTTTAACATGCTGCTCTGTTTAAGCATGTTGTCAGAGGCTGGCATGATGCAGTGAGAAGTAAGGCATGTGTTAAGCCTCGGGAAGTGCAGTAGCAATACAGAGTGGACAGCCAGAGCTGGCACCCCAACACCCTCTAAACAGTCTCGTTCCCTCGTGCTCTCCAGGTAGATCCACCTCCGGGCTTTGGTGTTTTATGGTTTGTGAGGTGTTTCTTCAGTATCCACCTTGTACTCAAATTTTTCCACCTTGGTTCAGATCAGATTCATACTTTTGGCTGATAGTTTTTGCCAGATGTATTGTTTGTTTTTGTGCTTGGTTTTTTTTTTTTTACTTTTGTCAACTTGATACAAGTTACTCTGGGAAAAGGAACTTTAGTTGAGGAAATGGCTCCACCAGATGATCTGTAGGCAAGTCTGTAGAGCACTTTCTTGATCAGTGATGGATGTGAGAGGCCCAGCCCAGTGTGGTCAGCACCACTCCTAAGCCCAAATGGTCCTGGGAAGTGTGTATTTTCAAAAGTAAGCTGAGCAAGAGAGCAAGGCAGTCAGCAGTGCTTCTCCATGGCCTCTCCCTCAGCTCCTGCCTCCAGGTTCCTGCCCTGCCTTCCCTCAGCAGTAGGCAGAGATATAGAACTGTGAGCTGAAGTAGGCCTTCCTTCTCCAGATTGCTTTTGCTCATGGTGTCTTAGCACAGCAATAGAAACCCTAAGGGCTCTTTTGTACTTAAAAAAAAAAAAAATCCCCTAGTTTCCACATATTGCTTTCACTTTCAAAAACTGGCCCTCAGGTAAGTTTCTGCTAAACTGCCAGAACATCCATATGAATCTTCTGGAAGATTCTTATCAGTTTGTGAGTTCAAGTTCCAATGACACTGACACTGTCATTCTGGAGTGATCTTCCCTTTAAGTGCTCAGAGCTGGCTATGACTAAACACAGTGCTAGAGACAAACACATCAGAAACCATTGCTGTAGTGCAAGGAGCCCGAAGCCAGTGATTCAGTCAGATTTGGGTTGCACTGGCTTCTAAAATTGAATTTAATACCCCCTTTTTTGCCCCTGTTCACAGTCTGTCCACTCTCTCATCAGTGATTTTAAGGACCCACCAACTGCTAAATATCGGGCTGCGCATGTGTTCTTCACAGACTGTAAGTACCCCAGGAGCTGCTCCTGCTGGCCCAGGTTGGCATTTCCTCACAGCTCCATTGAGCCCAAGCCAGGGCAGGACAGCAGAAGAAATGGGTGGTGCTGTAGTTATTCTCCAGCAGATGAGAGTGTAAGATACATACATGCACACGTGTATATATACACACATACACAGGTAAGTGTATATACATATATGTGAGTGTACACGCACATATGCACAAGTTTATATATGGGTGCACAGGTGTACACACACTCATGTGACTGTATTCACACACATGCACAAGTGTACACACATACATGTGAGTGAATACACACATGCACAAGTATGTACACACATATGCACAAGAGTACACACATACATGTAAGTATATACACACATGCATAAGTGTATATATACACATATGTATAAGTGTACACACATACATGCATGAGTGTGTACACATACATGCACAAATGTATAACACTCAGAAGAAGAAGAAGAGGAGGAAGAGGAAGAAGAGGAGGAGGAAGAGGAAGAGGAGGAAGAGGAGGAGGAGGAGATCATGTTGTTGTTGCTGCTTTTCTGGTTCTCCATTGTATAGCCGTTCAGATGTCTCTGGAGCCTGTGGGCTGTTTCCGTGAGGTCTTCAGACCTTAAGTTACAGTCTGTTGGCCCGGAGTTGGCTTTCTAGTTTTGTGCTGGTTTGTGTGTGGATAAGTTGTTCGGAGTGGAGCAGCTACAGATGTAGATTGATCCGATCAATTGAGTGGTAGCCTTGCCACTCTTCTCCCTCAGGTTAACCCCAGCCCGCTGCAGAGAATGCAGAAAAGGAATGTAACCTTGCAGTAAAAGCAGAAACAAACAGGAGTGCAGCGCTGGTGACCACCAACTAGTGGGGCGCCTCCTGGCACCTCAAGCACAGGGGCCTCCTGTGCTGTTGCTCTCAGTTCCCCTGTGTCTTTCTCTTTATTATCTGCACATCGCAGATGTGTGCTCTCTTCCTTACCCTTTCTTAATGGCTGCTGCTGTTTGCTCTCCTCTCCCTGGAAGCAGCACCTAGTTTTTATTAGCTTGTGTATCGCAGTCAGCTGCTGTTGGCTGTGTTGAGGGCCCTGCAGGTACTTTTCCGCTCTCTGGACCTCACAGTGCTGGATATCTGAGGACGGGGTGGAGTTATTACTAGGCACCTTTTTAGACTCTGAGTGAAAAGAGGTTCAGTGACGTCATGGGTGTTGACATGGCAGATGGGTGGACTGACGGGCGGACGGAAACCCCACTGTCTTTTCTCATTCTTGCAGCATGTCCAGATGCCCTGTTTAACGAGCTGGTAAAATCCCGAGCAGCCAAAGTCATCAAGACTCTGACAGAAATCAACATTGCGTTTCTCCCCTATGAGTCCCAGGTGCGGTCTGTTTCTGCGCTGATGTTTACTTAAGGGAAATGGGCTGTCCGATGTTGTCATCCCATTCACCCGCCCTTACTTACTGCATTGGTCTCCGTGCTGCCCAGGCACTACTGATCACTGCCCAGCCCTCTTCACTGACTCCATGAACAACCCAAAGTAGCTGTTCCTAAAAGAGGGAAGAGGAGGAAGGGCAGACTCTAGGGCACCCATCTGCTGCAAAGGAGGCTGTTTTTATTGGCAATAACCCCAGCTTGTCATGTGCTGAGAGAGCAGATGGTCACCTCCATCCTAAGCTGTTAGCACTTCACCCACCCTTACCCGGAGGTTCCAACAATAAAGTCCTCCCAATGGGGGGAAAATAAAGCTTTTATCTCCACAAAGGTAAAGCTGATTGAGAAAATATATGGAATTTATTTGAGTATTTTAGGGCTCCTCCAAATATTTTCTCTTGGCAAAAGGAATCAAAAGCCACAGGATTTGCATTTGTTCTGCGGTGTTAAAAGCTGAGTGCTGGATCTGTACAGACCAGCTCCTAAGTCTGTGGAGTAGCCTGTTGTTAGATGGGGCTAGATACAGCTCAACTGGTTCAATGCTCGCCTCCAAGATGCAGAGCCTGGGGTTGGATTATTATAAACCGAGTGTGGTGGCGAGTCTGCAGTCCTAGCATTTGGGGGGTGCACGGAGACGGGAGGGTCAGGAGTTTGAGGTTTTCCTCAGTTATAACAAATTAGAGGTGAGGCTAGGCTACATGGGACTCTGTTCCAAAAAAAGAAAAAAGAAAAGGAGAGAGAAGAGAAGCGGGGTGGAGAGAAGGAGAGAAAAGAAAGGAGAAAAAGATGGAGCAGATACAGCGTGAGCATCAGGGCTGGCTCAGTGCCTTTTTGCTTGCCCTGAACCCTGACTCCTTTTGGAGAGCTGTATATATTATCCACTTTTCTATCAACCTCATCATCACTGAATTAAACAAAATCCAGGTTTAGCACATACAAGCATATTATTTTTCAGAAAGCATGAGAAAGTAGGAAGTTTAAAAATCAGTTTTTAGCAGGTACACCCAGTAATTACCAGGCACACCTTTAATCCCAGCACTTGGCAAGCAGAGACAGGCAGATCTCTTGAGTTTGAGGCTAGCCTGGTCTACAGAGTGAGTTTCAGGCCAGTCAGGGATGCATAGAGAAAGCCTGTCTCAAAATAAATAAATAAAACAAATCATGTTTTAAGGCAAACATATTCTCAACCCTATAATCCCAGTATTTAGGATTTTGAGGTTAGAGAAGTACCTCAAACCTAATCCCAGCCTGAGCTAAGTTGTGAGTTTCAGGCCAGCCTGAGCTATAGAGTAAGGCCCAGTCTCAATCATCATCACCACCACCATCACTTTCACGAGTTCAGGTAGTTTCCACACATGAGAATTTGAGAGAATCCTGATAGTTCACTCCATCTTAAAGAAAGATTCTATCTTCCACAGTCCTTTACAGAAGGAGGTGGGAGGAGCAGGAGGAGAGGACGTAGAGCAGTTTGCTGAAGACAGGATATTATTAAACCTATAAAAAGCTCCCTTATTTGCCCACAGTTGTGGCACAATCTCCAGATCGTGCTTTGTTTATTAAAAGCAAACTCAAACTGGCCTATGAACCCTTGCTCACTGGACACCATAGGTGCACACACCCTGACATCTTAGGTATTGCCCTTCCCTTCTCACGATATCTTCTGCTGGCAGCAAACACCTCACCTCCTTGAAACCCTTCTCAGACCTCCCTCTCTCATGAGTCCAGGCACACACACACACACACACACACCCCACAAGCACACACACACTCAGCCATCTGGGGCAGTCTTTGCCTGCTTTACTCTTCACTCAGCTTTTACAGTTCTCGACCCCATATAGTTTATTGCAGTGTGTTTAATGTCTGTCTTCCCCTGCTGTGTGACAGGCTCCTTGGGAGTGGGGATGTTCTGGTCACTGGCAGTTGAAGTGCCTGGTACTGAGATAAACAAAAGCATGAGCAGGGTGACGAATGGATGGATGAATGGACAGATGGACGGATGGACGCACCAGCCGCTTATTATTTAGAAACTGATAGGACTTAACACCCCGTTGTGTGGTTTGTTGCCCCTAGGTGTATTCCCTGGATTCCGCTGACTCTTTCCAAAGCTTCTACAGCCCTCACAAGGCTCAGATGAAGAATCCTATACTGGAACGCCTAGCAGAGCAGATTGCAACCCTGTGTGCCACCCTGAAGGAGTACCCAGCTGTGCGGTATCGGGGGTAAGGCAGCATAGTCACACAGCATGCTAGACTGCTCTGGGTGGCATCTTTTGTGTCCCACAAATACCTGAGGTCAATCCCTAGAACCCATGAAAAGACGGAAGGAGAGAACCAGTTCCACAAAGTTGTCTTTGGATTCATATACGTGTGTCATGCTCTTATGCCCTGACACACAGATCACAAAATAATTAATAAAGAAATATATTATTACAATGATTTTATCTGTTAGGATATTCAGAAAAGAACATAATACATATTTGGTTATTGAATAATTAAAATATAAACCTCCATGCCACTGCAATGCATGGTTCCTAATTTTTAATCTCTTTGAAACGTTTTCAAACCAACCTCTCTTTGCGAAGGATTTGAAAGTAAAATACAAAGTCAGGCTTGGTGGGGCGCATCTGCAGTTATAGCACTAGGGAAGCTAAGGCAGACAGATCAGGAGTTCCAGGTTGCCCTCAGCTGAAAGAGGAAGGAACCGGGTGGGTGTGGCAGGTGAATAATTTTCTAAAGGGCAGTCTTTAGATTTTTTTCTGACAGTTTATTTATTTTTATGTTTATTGGTGTTTTGCCTGCATTTATATATATGTGTGTGCGTGTGCGAATGTCCCAGATCCCCATGGAACTGGAGTTACAGATGGTTATGAGCTGCATGTGGGTGCTGGGAATTGAACTCAGGTTCTCTGGGAGAGCAGCCAGTGCTCTTAACTTCTGAGCTATCTCTCCAGCCTCTTTCTATATATATTTTGAGACAGGGTCTCTATGTGTATCCCTGGCTGTCCTGAAACTTGCTCTGTAGCCCAGGCTGACCTCAAACTCAGAAATCTGCCTGCCTCTGCTCCCAAGTGCTGGGATTAAAGATGTGCACCAAAATATCCACCACTAAATCTTTTTTTAAAGATTCAAAGACTAGGGGCTAGAGAGACAGCTCAGCAGTGAGAGCACTAGTTGTTTGCCAGAGAATCTGAGTTCAATTCCCACCACCCACATGGAGCTCACAACTGCCTGTAATTCCAGTTCCAGGGGATCTGACACTCACACAGAGACATACATGCAAGCAAAACACTAGTGTACATAAAAATAAATATTTAAGAAAAAAATTTTAAAAAGATTTAGTTTTATTATCTTTAATATTATAAGATAAAGATGTACATTATTTACGAGATATAATAACGATAATAAGTATTATCGCTAGTGGCGCATGTGTGCGTGTGTCTGTAAGTTGGTACATGCACTAGTGCAGGCAGGCACCCTCAGAAGCCAGAAGAGTCAGATTCCTTTGGAGCTAGAGTTATAGGCAATCATAAGCCATCTGACATGGGTGGTGGGAGTTGAACTTGGGTCCTCTGGAATAGCAGTATGTGTTCCTAACCTCTATGCCATCTCTATAGTCTTTGGTTTTTATGAAGTCAATTAGTCATCACTTGCTGTGTGCTGAGTGCTTGGGGATTTTAAGCTAAAATCACAGCCCCACCCTCAGAAGCTGCGAAAGAGGGCAGGTACTGCCGGATGCAGTACATGTACAGGCAGCACTCACCAAGGCCTCGGGAAACCAGTGCCTTCAAGCAGCAGACCAAAGTGACGGGCATCCAGAGCAAGCAGAGGCCCATCAGCCTAGTATAGGGCACTATAGTGCTTATGTGGCAGGCCTTAAAGAATGGGTTCCGTCGCAGCAGATGGGTAAGAAAGGGTGCGGGCATTTGTGTTGACACTTGCTGTTGCTATTGGAACAAGCAGTGGCTTTGGGAAATCACAGGGCAAGTGTAGTCTGACACAGTCACCCTGTAGGGCAGCTTTAATTTCATGAGACCTCCTGAATGGTTGGGACAGGGGAGCAAGTCAGTTTTGAAGAAGATGAACTGAGCAAGAGTCAAGGCAAGGAGAAGCAGAAGAGCCAGGTCACCAAAGGCAGAGCAAGGGCCTGGGCTGTGATGGCAGCCATGGTCTGAGAGCAAGGGCTCTGTGCATTTCAGGCCCAGCAGAGGCTCATGTCTACTGGTGTGTGGCTCTGAGCTGAGTGCTTTTGAAGGCCACAGGTTGAACCTCCCCTTATTTCCTGGTCTGATGCTTGGGACTATAGAAAGAATACTAGTACAAGTTAAGAATGGGCTGAGGCCATCTTTCTAACCTAGAGGCAGGAACAGAGCTATGGTGGCACTAAGGTTGAAGATGACAGGCATATCATCTGCCAGAGGCAAGGGGGTTTGAATGGGGGAAAGAGTATTTCTCCTTCCACATAGGCTAGAAGAAGAAATGAGAAAGGTCGCTTATGGGCTGGGCCCTGAGCACAGATTTTCATTTTTCTCTTTACACTACATATGTAACACAGGCGTCTGTTTGTATACTTTTGAGACAGTGTCTTTCTTTCTTTTTTTTTTTTTTTAAAGATTTATTTATTTATTTTATTTATGAGTACACTGTAGCTGTCTTCAGACACACCAGAAGAGGGCATCGAATCTCATTACGGATGGTTGTGAGCCACCATGTGGTTGCTGGGATTTGAACTCAGGACCTCTGGAAGAGCAGTCAGTGCTCTTAACCGCTGAGCCATCTCTCCAGCCCCGACAGTGTCTTTCTATGTTAGGCCAAGCTGGCCTGAAACTTGTGGTAGCCCTTCCTCCTCAGTCTCCCAAGTATCACCATATTATATCCCAAGTATCACCTCACATATGAGGGTACATTCTTTTTTTTTTATGGTACGTAGATTTTTACTGAAATATTGAGTAAAATTATTTTCATTCTAAATTATAAGAAAGTAAAAATTTGCATGTATTAATATAGAAATCTATTTTGTGTGTATTTAACATGTTTAAAGCTATTTTACATGTACTAACTTTTTTATGAAGGTTTGTAAATGAGGGTACATTCTTACTGTAAAACTCCTAATACAGACTGTGTTGCCACCCCTCCCCTGTCCATCCCACCCTGCCTGGTGCTCTGCCTGGAGACACTTGCACTTGGCACATTATCTGGATGCACAGGTGGCTCACCCTCTGTCTTGTTTCTTGTGTCAGGGAGTACAAGGACAATGCCTTGCTGGCTCAGCTGATCCAGGACAAGCTGGACGCTTATAAAGCTGATGACCCAACAATGGGGGAGGTAAGTTTGGCCTGAGATCACAAGGTTCTCATTTTGAGTAAACAGTATTTATGTGGCAAACCTTGGGCTAGCATGGCCCTGCAGCTCACCGAGCGTATGTGAGGGCTGCTTTTCCTGTCTAGTGGAGTACCCAGTGCCCCTGGGGCAGGCTGATGCAGAAATGTTCAGCATGGCTAGGGCAGCCAGTTTGTTCCTGCTTGCCAGCACTCCCAGCTTCAGCCCTGAATGTCTGGGGAACTCCCCAGTAGCAAAATAGCAAAGGCAGCAAGTTGGCAGTGGTGGGGTCCTCGCACCGCAGTTTACTGTTAGCATGTGTTCACAGTTCTGTGCACTTTTAACACATACAGAGGTTTGTGTAACCAGCACTGCCGTGGAGATACAGAGCTGGGGGAAAGGGCCCAGCTCAGTGGCAGAGTGAATGTTTACATAACACATGTGAGACCCTCGCTGGTTCCTAAACACAGAGCTGTTCCATCAGCGCTGTGGCCTTGTAATTGGACCCCTCAGTGTTGGGCACTCCAGATAGCTGGCTGGGTGTGTAATGAACTGGTGCTCTGTTGCAAAGCTCCTGTGGCCCCAGCAGAAGGCCCTTAGTAAACTGGTTCCTCACCTGGAACTCAGCAGGCACAGTGCCCTTTGCTGTTTGGTGGACTTGCTCCCCAGAGTGCTCTTCCTGCTTCCTTAACACAGAGGCTCCACTACTTGGTTGGACAGCTTTTGAAGCCTCTCCCTATTTCTTGCCAGGGTCCTGACAAGGCACGGTCCCAGCTCCTGATCCTGGATCGTGGCTTTGACCCCAGCTCCCCTGTGCTTCATGAACTGACTTTTCAGGCTATGAGTTATGACCTGCTGCCTATCGAAAATGACGTTTACAAGTAAGGATTAAGTGACAAGGTTCACCAGACTAGTTCTGCAGACAATGGGAATTCCTCTAAGAAAAAGGATGTTTTTGTGTTTTTAATTTTTTTTCTCTTTTTGTATGTGTATATAGTATGCAAGCATGTCATGTGTGAAATGCATGTTTGTATGTGTGTGTGGCCCATAACTAATGTTGGCTAGCATTTTTAAAATCACTGTTTTATTGAGGCAAAATTTTTTTTTATTAATCAGTCAGATTTATGTCAATACATTCTCAATACACAAGATGCCCACACAATAAATTCAGTGCCTATAGATAATGGTACAAGCTGCCCACCTAGATTAGACAAGTTATCCCAATTATTCTGTCCCTATATGATATATCTACCTGTGGCTATTTAAAGCCACACTGAATCTGAGTCATCCTGTTTGTCCTCCATCTTGCTTCCTTCTCCTCTACCTGTCTCCCCCTCCCATCTCTGCAACTCTTAGCTCCGCCTCCCCTTTCCCTGTCCAATCACAGGAGAGGCTGACTCTTTAACTGAACCCAGAGTTTGCCAATTTTGGTTAGTTTATCTTTCCAGTTTATCCCAGGCACTCCTTGTCTCTGCCGCCCCAGTTTTGGATTATAGATGGCTGCCATCCCTGCCCCACATTTATGTGGGCTCTGAGCATCTGAACTCTTGTCTTTATCAAACTCCCATGGCAAGTGCTTCATCCACTGAGCTATTTCTCCAGCCTCCTAGAAGAGTGCTTTTAATATTAGGAAAAGTTTGAGCACTGATACCACTTCTTAGATAAACCCACGAGGTTTTCTGTAGGTTCCCTATCCATGTGCCATTCCTACATGCCTGCTGACACGACAGAACGTTGAAGTCTTTTTTTCATAACTCACATCACTTCAATTCATAGCTTCTTAGATGTGTTGATAGGTTGGTTTTATGTGTGTCTTATTCAGAATTGAAAGTTCTTAATTACAGATCACTATGATTGTAGTAATATATTTCAACAGAGTTCCTGAACATTCTGTGTGGTGGAACTGCTTTCTTCTTTATAAAAAATATTACCTACTTGTAATCTTGGCATTCAGGAGCCTAGGACAGGAGGATCATGAGTTTGAAGCCAGTCTGGACAACTTAGTGTGAGACCCTGTCTCACAACAAAGAATGGCTTTACAATGAAGGTTCTGGGCCTGGGGAGATGGCTCAGTGGTTAAGCAAGGCCCTGAATTTGATTTCTAGCACATACATGGTAACAAACAACTACTTTTAACTCCAGTTCCAGGGGATCTGATGCCCTCTTCTGGTCTCCATGGACACCAGGCATATACATGGTGCGTGGACACCCAGGCAAAACACAAACATAAAACAAACAAAATTATTCTAGGGCTAATAATCTTCGAGCTGGGGAGATGGTTTGGTAAGAGCACTTGCCACTCTTGCAGAGGACAGGGTTCAGTTCTCAGGACCCAGATGGTAGTTTGAAACTGTCTGTAATTCCAGTTCCAGAGCAATTGACACCTTCTGGCCTCAGTGGGCACCAGGTACTCACATGGTACACATACATGCACACAGGTCACCACTCGTACACATAAAAATAAAATAAGTGCATCTTTGTAAAAATGAAGGTTCTGCTGGGACACACTTCTTTAATCTGAGCACTCAGGAGACAGAGGTAGGAACATCTCCGAGAGTTCCAGGCCAGCCTGGCCTATATCAGCAAGTTCCTACTTGGTTTATGTCTCGACAGGACTACATACAGGCACCCACTCTAATTAATTAATGATAAAGATGAAGCTTCTGAAAATATCTGTGGTTTTCAGGCCTTCTTCCTTTTGGTTCCTGGGGCTCTGGCCTCCTCTGGGACTCCATGTGTAATGATATGCTGAGGACCAGACACAGGAGATGCAGGAGACCTTTTAGGCACCTTACATTTGCAGATGTATCCCTCCCCTCCATCAGAGAGGGGCAAACAAGTGTAGTCTTTCTTCTCTATGTAACTGTAGACGCATATAGAACTGTCACAGGCACTGACGCCCTCCCCCAGCCCTACCCCCCAGGCTCGAAAGGGTTAAAGCACAGCTCTCCAAGTTGCTGGCTTTGAGCTTTCTCCTTGCCCAGGGACTCGGTCATTTTGTGCTGTCCCAGATGACTTGGCCAGCCTGACAGTTTGTGTTATGAGCCATACCTGGGGTCACCTGGCAGTTGAGAGAACAGGTGTTATCCTTAGAAACCAAAGGAGACATCTGGGTGTGGAAGTGCACACCTGTAATCCCAGCATTCAAGGCGTTGAGGCAGAAGGATCAAGAGTTCACCGCCAGGCAGAGGCAGGCGGATTTCTGAGTTCGAGGCCAGCCTGGTCTACAGAGTGAGTTCCTGGACAGCCAGGGCTACACAGAGAAACCCTGTCTAGGAAAAAAAAAAAAAAATTCACCGCCTTAGCTATTTAGACGTGTCTGAAGCTAGCCTGGGATACATGAAATCCTGTGTCATGGGGGCAGAGTCATACCATGAGGTCTCCGGCCTACTCAAGTCCTGTCTCCTCTAGGTATGAAACCAGTGGCATTGGAGAGGCACGGGTGAAGGAGGTGCTTCTGGATGAGGACGATGACCTGTGGATTGCACTGCGACACAAGCACATCGCAGAGGTGTCCCAGTAAGAACTCTGCCAACCCTTCCCCAGGGTGGGCCCTTAACCCTGGGCTGAGGGTGACCATGCACAGCTCAGCAACCTGGGGAGTGAGCTCATCCCCTTGGCAGAGTTGCCCACATGCTAGCCAAGATGGACAGGCCCTCCTGTTCCCTGAATGTGTGCTTCTTCAGCTTTACTAGCTTCAAAATGCACCCTTACCAGGTGGCGATGGCACACACCTTCAATCCCAGCACTCAGGAAGCAGAGGCAGGAGGGTCTCAGAGTTGCAGAACAACAGCCTGGTCTACAGAGAGAGTTCCAGGACAGGCTGTACACAGAGAAACCTTGTCTCAAAAAGAAAAAGAAAAAACAGAGAAAGAAATATTGATCCCTGGGCCTGGGCTGGGATATAGCTTAGAGGTAAAGCCCTTTCCTGACCCTGACGAGGCCCTAGATTCAATCACCAGCTCCCGGAAAGATATTGTTGGAGTAGACGGAGTAGAGTTGGGTTTCTTCTGTTATCTTTTTTTTCTTCCTTCTTTTTTTCTTTTTTTTTTTCTGTTTTGATTTGTTTTGTTGAGGTTTCTGTGTAGCTCTGGCTGCCCTGGAACTCATTCTGTAGATCAGGCTGGCCTCAAACTCAAAGATTCCCCATACCTCTGTTGAGATTAAAGGCGTGTGTCACTACAACTGATAATTGGGGTAGAAATACTGACCCATACTTCCTTCTGTTCAATTTATTTATCATTTAGTTACATACTACATATATTTTTATTTTCCACACACAAAACATGAATGTTTCAGTTTGTGTGCATTTGAAAAAGAAGAAAGAAACTAAACACAGTGGACAGTCCAGTACTGTCCCCTTTGCCCTGGAATCATCTGACACACACTGTCCTGGAGACCAGTGATCTAGAGTGTCAGTCAGAACATGTGTCCTTCACTTTAAGCTTATACCTCAGTGGAAAGAGAATCGCCACTTAGTCCCGAGGAAGGATTTACATGGCTTCAGTGGTCTCTGCAGAGAGCCCTGGGCACTGTGTTGAATGAACATGGCTGCTTCCTCCCATTTTGCAGGGAAGTCACTCGGTCTCTGAAGGACTTTTCCTCTAGCAAGAGGATGAATACTGGAGAGAAGGTAAGCCTGCTGGTGTCCACAATTCCTGGAGTCAGTGAGGGATGCCAGTTCCCAGGCATCCTGGGGGTCAGCCCCTCTTCTCTGTATCCTACTAGGGAGTGGGTGGAGCCATATTTCTCCCATCACTAAACTGTCAGGCTTTGTTTTTGCTTTTAAGACAGCTGTCTGGGTGTGTGACTCAGTGATAGAATGCTTGTTGAGTGCACACAGACCTTGGGTTTGATCCCTAGCACAACAGATGGATCCTCTCTGGAACCACATGACTTTCAGTGTTTGTAAAGCACTGCTTTCTCATATCTAGAGGGTTAAGATTTGCCATTTAGGAGCAAAACTGATCTTAAGCCAGAAGAATCATAGAATTTTTTAGCTTGGCATTTATAACCAGACCTCCTGAGATCTCCCCTGGATCTGGCCTCCTTTACTTGGTTAGAAATGTCGTGCCCAGCCAGGTACACTGATGCTTACCTTTAATCTCAGTCAGGATGGTCCAGCAGGTAACGGCCCTTGCTGCTAAGCCTGATGACTTGAGTTCAGATCCTAGAACTCACATGTCTGGAGAAAAATGACTCCCGCAGGGTGTCCCCTGAGACTTCTATTTGCACACACACACATAATTAATTAATTAAAAATATAATTTAAAGAGCTGGAGAGATGGCTCAGAGATTAAGAGCAATTATTGCTCTTGCAGAGGACCCAAGTTCTGTTCCCAGAACCCACATCAGCTCACCACTGCCTGTAACTCCAGCTCCAGGGGATCTGATTCCTTCTTCTGATCTTCACAGACACCTGCATTCAATTGTGCACAGTCCACACACAGACATATAATTGAATACATGTTTTAAGTCCGTGAATGGACACTTGTGAAGTCTGATGTAGCTGCTGCCCTGCCATGTGTGTCCAGCTTCACAAGGCTTCAATGGGGCTAGTCACACTGTGCCTCCTTCTTCACAGACCACCATGCGGGACCTGTCCCAGATGCTAAAGAAAATGCCCCAGTACCAGAAAGAACTCAGCAAGGTACGGAGACCCCAGCCCAGACTGTCAGACTCAGAAGTGTGGGACTGCTCACCCCCTGTTGCCCCAGGCAATTCATGAAAATCTACAGATCCTAGATCCAGTTTTCATTAGGAAATGAAAGACTGGGAGGCTGTTTCCAACTGCTTGTTTCCCTCTTTCTCTGTCTTTCTCTTTTTTTTCTTTTCCTCTCTTGCTGTTGACCGGAGGCCCCAGTTCCTCACTACACAGGCCTTAGCTGGTACTGGCTGTCCTCACACAGCTGCTGGCCTCCCTCAGAGATGCTGGTCTGAGAGAGGACCAGGAGGCGTCAGGGCTTCAGGGTCCTGATCATAAAGGTGAATTACTTGCCTGCAAGGTATTTCCTAGGTGCTGCACCCACCCCATGCTCAAGCTGCTCACTCAGGCTTCTCCACCCTCCTAAGTGATCTCGCCCTCCTCTCCTGCAGGCCGTGGTCTACCCCACTCTCCCAGTTAATGTATCTTTTATTCCCGTCGGTCCCAGAGTCCTCTGTGAGGACACTCGGGGTCATGTGAGTCAGTGCCTCACCTCTTCACTGACTCTTGTCCTTCCCCTAGTACTCGACTCACCTGCACCTTGCTGAAGACTGTATGAAGCATTACCAAGGCACCGTAGACAAGCTCTGCCGAGTGGAGCAGGTAGGATTGCCTTCCTTTCCTTTTTGCATGGCAGAACTTCTGCCCTACCTATTCACCTCACCGAATTTTAACCTCTGACCTTAAAAATCTTACAGAATCATAAGAAGGGAGAGCCTATGACCCTGGGTTGTCTCAGCTGTGGGGCCAGTGTGGAGCCGCTTTGGCGGGTAGGGCCAAGATAGTGCTGGAGTGCTGTGTCCTTTGGATCTTGCATGCCTGGCTCTTTCCAATGGCTCTTGTTTTTCCTGGAGTGACAGCCCTGACCGTGGCAGGGTTGGTTGATGTTTTATGTTCTGATGTGTTTTGGTCCCGCTATGACCAGACCAGCTTTGGAGCTCCGGCTGTCAGGGCTGCAGCAGGGCATGAGTCTTCTAGCCTTGCTAACCTCAGGCCTGGGAGCTGAGAATGGATGAGACTCTTACTGGTTACCTGGTGTCCCTGATCCCTTTTCCCTATTGGCTACTCACAGCACTGATGTCACTGTCACCTTCTATAGAGTACCAAAACCAGAGGTGTGGCAAAGCTGCTAAGCTGTGTGGCAACTGTCTTGCTACTGCTTTCAATCCCCTTGGCTTGATCTCAAGAGATCAGACTCAGGGCCTCACCTAGGCAGAGGAAGCCCTCGAACACTGAGCCATTCATTGTCTTAGCCTCCCTGTGTCAGGGTCTGAGGGAAGGAAGAAGACACTGAAAGATTTCAGAGTGCCAGACTTGGTGGCTCAGACCTAGATATTTATAGATCAGAGATTCACATCACGATTCATAACAGTAGCACAACTACAGTTATGAAGTAGCAATGAAATAATTCTATGGTAGGGGTCGCCACAATATGAGGAACTGTATTAAAGGTCCTAGCGTTAGGAAGGTTGAGAACCACTGTGCTACTCAGTAAGAAGCAAGTTCAGATTAGCTGCCTAGAAGGCTGAGCAGGAGGACCACAGGTTTCAGGACAGCCTGGCAGCTTAGGGATAGCCTGTCACATTTACCACCACCACAGCCATTCTAAAGCCTTACCTGGAAGTCTCCTTTTACATGAAACAGAAGCTCGTGCTCAGTGTGGAGCTGAGATTTTTACCTCGGCTTGCTGTAGGAGGCTTAGTGGAGGGTTGCATGCTTTGTCCAATAGTGCAGGCTTCGTCAGAAGGGAAGCAGACCTCCCCTCTGAAAGTACCCCACTTCTCAGGCACCCTCCTCAAACTCACAGCTTCTCCCCAAGAGCTCAGCCTTCCGGAAAGCAGGTTCTAGCTAGTCCAGTGTTTGTCAGCCTGTGGATCACCACCCCCTGGTGACAGGGGTCACATCAGATGGTCACATCATGATTCATAACAGCAGCAAAATTAGTTATGAAGTAGCAACAAAATGATTCTATGGTAGGGGTCGCCACAACAGGAGGAACTGTAGTAAAGGGTCACAGTGCACAGCATCAGGAAGGTTGAGAGCCACTGTGCTACTCAGTAAGAAGCAAGTTCAGATTAACTTTGGGAGCACAGGTTTGGTTTGTTTGGCTTTGTTTTTTGAAAGTGGTTTAAAACCTAAGTATTGAGCTGGTTGTAGTGATGCATACCTGTAATCCTAGCACTCGGGAGGCAGAAGCAGGTGGATTTCTGTGGACTTGAGGCCAGCCTGGTCTATATAATGCATTCTGGGACAGCCAGGGCTATTTTGTGAGACCCTGTCTCTAAAAACTTCCAAAAAAAATGAATTACTTGCATTTCAGTGAGCTTAGAGAGTGTGCTCTAGGGCTGACAAAATGTCTCAGCAGGCTTGTGGCCAAGCCTGACAACCTGAGTTCAATCCCAGGAACATATGTGAAGGAAGGAGAGAACCAACTCCCACAAGTTGTCCTCTGACTTCCAATGTGTATCATGCACACATACTAACACAATAAATATGTGTGTGTGTTCTTTTTTTTTTCAATTCACATTATATCCCAATGCCACCCCCTACTCCCAGTACCCCCTCACAGATCCTTTCCCCATTTCCCCCTCCCCTTCCCTTCCAAGAAGAAAGAACCCCCTTAGGCATCACCCCCAACCCCTGTGTGTGTATTTTTTAATGAGACTGGGTGTGATGCTCACACTTTAATCCTAGCATTCAGGAGGAAGAGGCAGGAGAATCTCTGAGGTTGAGGCCAGCCTGAGCTATATATAGTGTGTGTGTCTCAGGCCAGCCAGAGCTACATGAAGAGACCCTATCTCAAAAACAAAACAAGCCGGGCATGGTGGTGCATGCCTTTAATTCCAGCACTTGGGAGACAGAGGCAGGTGGATTTCTGAGTTCGAGGCCAGCCTGGTCTACAAAGTGAGTTCCAGAACAGCCAGGGCTACACAGAGAAACCCTGTCTCGAAAAAACAAAACAAAAACAAACTAGGGGGTATGTGCTAGTTTCTTCCTGCTGAGAACACATCTTCTGGAGCTGTCAAGGGGACTGGGAGTGAGTTGTGCCTTCCTCAGACCATGTCTGAATGTGAGGTCACTATTTGGGTAAACTCTCGGCCTCTTGATAGAAGAGGAGCCCTAGGCACTCTCCTAGGAGCCACAGAGAAAGCAGTGGCCGTGCCAGATCTAAAGTTAGCACTCTGCCCGTGGAGTATGTGACACCCACCCTGGCTGTGCTCATTTCTGTCTTCTCACCTCAGTTTCCTGTCACCTTTCTGTCCTCCACCTCCGGGCTTGGGAGTTCTTCCTTCTTGTTTCTCCTCAGCCTATGAAAAGCTATAGGGAAATTAAAACCAGAGGTGAACTTGGAGTAGTCAAACCTTAGTGTGCCCTGCTGTGCCATGAGAGTTGGGGTGGAGAGAATTCAGCCACACAGAGGCCTTGAGATGCCCAAGTTTTCATGAGTGGGAAGCAAACCCTGAGTCCCTCAGCTGTAGGTCACAGATACAGGTGCCCTGGCATCCCCCTTCATGGAACAGTTTGACCAGGTACTGTGCCTGCTTTGGGAAGGAATCTCAGGACTTTCATGCTTGGCCATCTTGGGATTCTGTGTCAGCCTGTTGGTGCAGGAGACTTGCTCACAGCCTGCTCCGATAACACCAAAGTCAGGCATTTGTAGATCATGAACTTCCTGAGAACTGTCACCTTCCTAGACTGTCACAGAAATAGGGCCAGCAAAGTGTGTTTTTTACAGGACCTGGCAATGGGCACAGATGCAGAGGGGGAAAAAATCAAGGACCCCATGAGAGCCATTGTCCCCATCCTGCTGGATGCAAACGTCAGCACTTATGACAAAATCCGCATCATCCTTCTCTACATCTTCCTGAAGAACGGTAGGAGCTGGTGGGTGGCAGGGTGGGGATGGGGGAGGAGGAGGAAGAGGAGGAGGAGGAGGAGGAGGAGGAGGAGGAAGAGGAAGAGGAGGAGCAGCAGCAGCAGAGGGGCAAACAGTGCAGATGCCAACTAGCAGCCCTGGGAAAGGGGAGAACAGAAGCCGCAGGAACTGCAGTGGACCAGGTCAGATGCTCCAAGGCTGAGCCTGCCCAGCAGTCCCGAGTGCACAGGAAGCAGGTGACACAGATGGGGCCTTCTGGCTCTTCAGCCAGTTTGCTAGCACTCAGCCTGCCAGATGCCTCCAGATGCATCTCATTAGTAACAGAGACCTTTCAACAACTGACATTCAGCCTGTAATCCTTTGGGAGGTAGAGGTAAGGGTATCAGGAGTTCAAGGCCAACCTTAGCTACAAAAGTAACTTTAAGGCCAGTTTAGACTACATGAAACCCTATCCAAAACAAGCAAACAAAATCCCCCAAAACAAACAACAACAAATCCAAAACAAATTGTTTTTACCCATGTCACTGTACAAAAAACTGGGTAAGGAGACTTTCTCATCTAGTGTGGCTTTGGTCCAGGGTGCCAGTAGGCAAGGACTGCTGGGAAGCCAGGTGGATGGAGCAGACTGGAGAGCAGGCATCTGTGGGCAGCACAGAGTGGCTCCAGTGGAGTGGATGGTCCTTCTGAGCCCACCATAGATGTGGTTGCGGAGGGGAAGGGAAGTCGAGGCTTTTCTTATGGGGGTGGACATGGCAGGGGTTAGGTATGTGACTAGGAATCTTGTTTTTCAGGTATCACTGAGGAAAACCTAAACAAACTCATCCAGCATGCCCAGATCCCCCCAGAGGACAGTGAGATCATCACCAACATGGCTCACCTTGGCGTGCCCATCGTCACAGATGTAAGGGCCAGGTCATAGGCAGGGAGACTGTGAGGGGGCTGGCTTATGTATCCTCACCACGTTCATGATTGACAGCTCCCTATGATACAGCTGTGTACCACCCTCAGCATCAAGAAAGGAGAGAGAGGGAGTAGGAGGGAAGGTGGGAGAGGGGGAGAGAGAGGGAGGGAGGGAGAGAGAATGAAAATGAGTCAGCGATGGGGAAGAAGGACAGTGAAACAGTTCAAAGTCAGGAATTAGCTGTATCCAGGAATCACGTGGTCACTAAAGCTGAGCTGTCTATGAACTCATCCATAACGGGTCACGCCAACTTCCCCTGTTATATCTTGTGTGACCTTGCCTTTGGACACAGACTCAGCATCTCGGGTAAGGATGGCAACATTGTCAAGTGAGCTCTTTTGCTCTGTGTCTTTGGCAGTGGAGTGACTGAGAGCAAAATACAGCAGACAGTTCAGAAGGTCAGGCCTACACAGTGTGCTCTGAGAGAGCAGGCAGATCGTCTCTTTCAGACAGTGCCTTGAACCTCAGATGGAGAAGTGCCCTGTGTATTATTTCCTCCTGGAGGCAGGCAGCCCATGGGGCAGAGTTCACAAAGCCAGCTGGGATCTCCAAAAGGGACTAGGGTCCATTGACCTGACCAGTGACCTAACAAACTCATCCAGCATGAGTTTGTTCCAAGCTGGCAGGGCTTGGGGTTTTCAATACCTGGTTGACGAAAGGTTCAAAACAGTAGAACTGATTCATGTAAAACAATCCATGCTACTGACATGAAGCAGAAACCCAGAGCTACACAGAGAAACTCTGTATCAAAGAATCAAAGACCAAAGCAAACAAAACCCCAGAAAACCCAGACTTTCTCAAGGCTCCCTTGTCTCAGAGTTTCTTAAAGAGGTATATTTTGGGACTACACTGGGAAGAACCTCTCCTTTATTACTCTTTGCCAATGCTAATTCTGAAGAGGGTCCTTGAGAGAATTTCTAGAAGCCACTGAGACCCAGGTGGTCCCAACGGGCATCTAACCTGATGTGTGCTTGCTTTCAGTCCACACTACGCCGCCGAAGCAAGCCAGAGCGGAAGGAGCGCATCAGTGAGCAGACCTACCAGCTCTCACGATGGACCCCAATCATTAAAGACATTATGGAGGTCAGTTTGGGGTTCAGTAGCAGGGTCCAGGGCCGCTCTTCAGTCGGTGGTCCAAGTCCCAGCACCCCTGTTCTCAGGTAGCAGTGATACATGATTCATTCCTGTGAGGATAAGTCCCTGGTCTTTTGGGGCTCTGTCAATCTCTGAGGTCGCATGAACACCCATGGGACTGACCTTAGTTTGGGCTACTATTGCTGTGATGAAACACCATGACCAAAAGTAACTTGGAGAGGAAGGGCATCACTGTTCATCATCACAGGCATTCAGGGTAAGAGCTCATACAGGGATGGAACCTGGAGGCAGGGGCTGCTGCAGAGGCCATGGAGGAGTGCTGCTTTACTTACTGGCTTGCTGCTTCTCAAGGCCTGCTCAGCCTGCTTTCTTAAAGCACCCAGGACCACCAGCCTAGGAATGGCCCCACCCACGGTGATCTAGGCCCTCCCATGTCAATCACTAGTTAAGAAAATGTTCCATAGGTTTGCCTACAGCCTAATCTTAAGGAGGCAGGATTCCTTCCTCCCATGTCAGGTAAACTAGCCAGGAAAAACAGATACATGGAGACCTCAAGATCCATTTGCCCACTGCTCCAGTCTCAAGGGATATAGCCCCATGCTTTAGAAGTACTTTGGTGGTTTAGTGCCCAGAAGAGCCGGGCTCATGTCACTGTCTCTTAGGATTTCCATTGCTGTGAAGAGACGTGTCCAAGACAACTTTTCTAAAGGACAACATTTAATTGGGATTGGTTTACAGTTTCTGAGGTTCAGTCCATTATCATCATGGCAGGAAGCATGACAGCGTCCAGAAAGACATGATGCTGGGGAAGGAGCTGAAAGTTCTACATCTTTATCCAAAGGCAGCCAGGAAGAGACTCTCTAATCCCGTCCACACGGTGACATACTTCCTCCAACGAGGCCACACCTCTTAATACTGCCATTTCACATCGGACAAGCACATTGGAACCACCACAGTCAGCATGCCATGTTCAGATGAGGGACATGCACAGACTACTAGGGGACATAGTCCTTCTAGGTCACATCTCAGCCAGGTGTAGAGGGCTCCACAGGAGGCTACAGCCTGCCTACCTCCCCATGGCTGCACTCCTGAGCTCTCCCCACACTAGCAGACAGACCTGGACTCTGTGGCTCAGGCTAGCCCCTCGGAATATTCTTGTCCTCATCTCTACTTCCTGGTCCCGTTTCCCTTCCCACATTGTATGGTGCCTCACATGTCTGACTATGCAGCATCGCAGAGCCCATTGCATAGCTTTGCTGTCCAGTTTGAGGCCATCTTTTGTTTTTGAGATTGGGTCTCATGTCCAGGCTGGCCTAGAACTTACGATATATTGAACTTTTGATCTTCGTTCCCTCTCCTCTAAGTGCTGAATTCAAGGCATATACCACTATGCTCAGTTTTTAGCACAGGGATCAACTCAGGGCTTCATGCTACACAAGTACCCTACCAAGTAAGTCACATTCCCCTGGGGTCATCTTCTAACTGGATGATTCTGTCACTGTATGCCCTGCGTCCATGGCGTAGAGCCTCACACTAAGATGTGGCACCATGCTTCTTGGCTGTCAAGGGATGCAAGGCAGTGTTTTGCATCAGCTCTGTAGTCACTGCCATCCCCCAGCGTCAGTGCAGAATTGCTGCAGAGTCCTGCACCACTGGCTCCTTAATGTTGGATAAGACAGTAGGCCCGACATCTGCACTTGATAGACAAACAAAACGGGAGTCCAGAGAACAGCCTCGTGTCCAAGTTAGCTCAGGCACCGCTACCAGGCTATATGCTAGAAGAACAGTACTTATGTAGTGTGAGTCAGCATCTATTTTAAAACCTACAAAGCCAAAGCATAAGTAGCTGTGGAACACCCAGGAACTAATTGCCTGCCTCGGTTGTGGGACTGAGGACGCAGCCCTCTGCTGTATTGCCCCCTGCTTTTCTGCCCCTCCTCCCTGCTTCCCAAGGAGACCTGCGTAGGAGTCTCACGTTGCTCTTAAGTGGAATGTGAATTCCCAAGTGACAGGAGATAGCCGGAATCCATCCACTAGACAGTTAGCCTCTTGACAAACTGCAGAGGAGGCTCAGACCCAGTTGTCACCAGGCTGACATGTCGGAAATTTAGTGGCCAGAGTACATGTTTAGTCTTGGTGGGTTATACAATGGAGAGCATTGCAGGGATGAGGGACTGAATGTCTTGCCCGTTTGACAGAGTGACCCATAGGGCCAGGCAGTCCATCCTGCTACAGAGCGAGTGTCATAGTCCCCTGTCCATGCTGGGTCCCCAGCAGTGGCAGCAAGCACAAGACAAGGGCCTTCTACAGATGTGGTCACTGACTGATTTTGATTTAGTTCCTGTCAGCCCTTTCAGGCACACGGTGACCTGACCTACCTAACCACCCCCCTCTCTCCACCTCTCCCCCCCTCCCCTGACTCCAGGACACTATTGAAGACAAACTGGATACAAAGCACTACCCGTACATCTCTACCCGCTCCTCCGCATCCTTCAGCACCACTGCTGTGAGGTAGGGCAATGTGGGGGAAGCAGGGGGGGACTGTCTGTGAGGTTCTGAGGTGATCTGGCTGTAAGTGGCATATGCCATCTGAACCCTCCCACGTCATCCATTATGGTGAGGGTGCAGTAGGCCCAGACTCAACAGCAGGCCACATGGCTCTCCTTTTGGCTTCCAGCCTTCAAGAACTCACTCCCTTTCCCTTCAAGCACCCTGTCAGCCTCAGCCACTAATCCCTTGCTCATCCTGGAACAAGCCAGGCCTACTTGTACCTCAGAATCTCTGTGTTTCACACACACACACACACACACACACACACACACACACACACACACACCTGGAGCTGGGTAACCTGCACACAGTCTGAAGGTCTTTATTGAGTGTTCCTCTTTGATGTTCTCTTAACTACCTGTTGAGTCATGGAAACCCAGTGTTGATCGCACTTATCTTTGTAGTAGCCTGATGGGGATGGCCCAGGTGCCTGCCAGCTGACAGGCATTCAGACTGTGGCTCCTGAGAACTGGAGGCTGAGCTGGGGGCCTGGAGAGCCGTGAGAGGCCGCAGAGAGGACAGTCACTGTGCTTACCAGGGTTGACTCCTTTTGTTTGTTTTGTTTGGGGGTTGTTTATTTATTTGTTTTGTTGGGTTTTGTTTTCTTTTCTTTTTCGAGACAGGGTTTCTCATTGTAACCCTGCATGACCTGGAACTCACCCTGGAGACCAGGCTGGCCTTAAATGCACAGAGATCCACCTGCCTCTGCCTCCCAGCTGCTGGTACTAAATGTGTTCACTACCATCATCTGGCTTGTTTTGTTGTTTTTTTGAGACAGGATCGCTTTGTGTAGCTCTGGTTGTTGGGGAACTCAATATGCCAACCAGCCTGGCCTTGAACTCAGAGATCCACCAGTGATATCTGGAATTACAGGAGTGCTCCACCATGACCAGAAACACTCTAGAGTGCTAGCCACTGTCCCTTTTCAATGGCTCGTCTCTGGATTTTCTTCTTTCTGTCTTCACCCTTGGCCTGTACCTGAGCATGGGTCCAAGGTCTGCAGTGGCTCCTGCGGCACTGACATCCCCTTGGATGGCAGCCTGGATGATAAAGCCATTGTCAACTGTGAAATAAAGTCCAGTCTCCAAGTGTTGCACTAGGCCAGCTGGGCACGAAAGAGACTGATAGAGCCCAACTGCATCCGGGGCTGTCGTGAGGAAGCAGGGTGGAGCATTCTGGTGTCCAGAGGGGACTTGCTTCCTCTCTTTCATGTTTTCCATTGTCTCAGCCTGTATCTGAGTCCAGGTCCCTACAGAGGACATGCAGGGACAGAGGGAGGCCTGGTAGTGAAGGCTCACCGGCTCTTTACCTCCCTGGTAAGGCCTGAACAGTGCCCTGTGGCCCTGGTTCTGTCCCATGGCATTCACCATTTTTCATCCTGTTAGACTGTGACCTTTCTTTTTTTTTTTTTATCTTATTTTTTTTTTGGTTTGGTTTTTCGAGACAGGGTTTCTCTGTGTAGCCCTGGCTGTCCTGGAACTCACTCTGTAGACTAGGCTGGCCTCGAACTCAGAAATCCGCCTGCCTCTGCCTCCCAAGTGCTGGGGTTAAAGGCATGTGCCACCACTGCCCAGCAGACTGTGACTTCTTAGTGAGCAAATGCTGTCTGTCCCTGGGGATACAGTACCAGGAAGCCTGGCCCCTACAAAGCTTCTTTACATGTGATCAGTGTGCAAACTTAATGGGGCCCCTCTGCCTCTCCACACTGCTCAGTGATGCAGAATCCCAGGCAAGCCTAGACATCTGAATGAGAACCATCCAGGCAAAGCTGCCAAGAAGAGCCAGTCTGGTCCCTGAGTATTTATGAGAGAGTGGAAGTCACGGCTCAGGCACTGGCAGTGCAGCTCAGCTTGGCCAGCATCATATGTGAGGCTCCAGGTACCAAGTCACCTATATCTGCTCTCTCCCTCAGCGCCCGCTATGGACATTGGCACAAGAATAAGGCCCCCGGGGAGTACCGCAGCGGTCCCCGCCTCATTATTTTCATCCTCGGGGGTGTGAGCCTGAATGAGATGCGCTGTGCTTACGAAGTGACCCAGGCCAATGGCAAGTGGGAGGTGCTGATAGGTAAGCCAGGCATGCGTTCTGCAGGCACTGCGGCCTCACTGCTCTGTCACTCCATCCCACGCTTCCTGTCGCTTCCATCTTAGGCCTCTTTCACACCAGCAAAACATGGCCCTGGATAGCAGAAGCTAGGACTATCTGCCCTGCTGTGTCTCTTGCTGAAGGCCAGTGTTTTGGAATAGAAGAGCCTGGTTATAGAGTCTCAGATCCATATACTGGCACTGCCGAGTACAGTCACTTTAAGCAAGAGAGGATCTCTCCAAGCCATACTGTTACCACGCCTGATGGCAGGGCTGTCACTGCTGACCACATCCCCCCTGTTGGAGACAGACAGAGTGTCCATAGATGCTGCTGAAGCCAGCGGCCTGACAGCTGGGTCAAAAGGATTCCCTAGCCAGGCCCTGCTATCTTCTGGGCTGCCACACCCTCTCTGGTATGTCCTGTTCACTTCCAAAGGAGCACAAGCAGCTGGTGGAAGATGGTCTGTGCAGCAGACGGCACTTCCTGCTCACTGTCTCCAGGATCATCTGCAGCGTCTAGGGTTCCTCCAGATGTCTCCATTTTGTCCCCACACAGTTTTATGTGCCACAAATGTCAGGAGCTCTCATGGGCACTGCCCTGTCTAGGCTTCCCCTCTGTGGGAACACATGCTGGATGAAGTGTAAGGCCAGAGATGAAGGTCCTAGGAGTGTGCTGGGCTCTGTGGCAAGTGATGCTCTTGAGGGCCGTTGCGTCACATGGGCCATGTTCCTGTGTACTGCTACAGAGGTGGCCCTGGGCTGCCCAGCCAGAAAGGCTTCCCTCAGAGCACAGGCGCCTGCCCATCCCCCCAGGTGAGGTCATCTCAGCAAGAGTCACTTCTGACTATCCAACTTGGATGACCCAGTCCCGGCACCCCCAAGCTGTCCAAGCAAGCAGGCTCCATAGAGCAGTAAGATAGCTGCTTCTGGGTTCACTAAGACAGGCATGAAGGGCCGTCACCTTTGCACAACCACGTGGGAAGACTGCACCTCTCCCCAGTCCCACAGGCATCCATGATTAGCCTCCCTGCCTGTTTTTCTGTCTGTGACGTAGGCCCCATGAGTGTCCCCTGCTCACTCCCTGCATTTATGTTCATGCATGTGTTAGAGGACTCTGAGCTCAAACACAACTTCCCTGGACAACAGCTGTCACAGCCAAGCTTGGGGGTAAACCTTCCTTTCCCCTTTGGACCTTCCTTAAGGTTCCTTGTGCAGGGGAGGGTGGAGACCCAGGGACAGAGAGCTGCCTATGTGGCTTCATGGAGGGGCTTCCCGAAGACAGCTACCATCGCTGTGTGGTCTCACATGCTTTGTGCATGCCAGCACCTTGCTGCCCGCGTACATGTATGCATGTGCCTGTGCATGCTTCGCCTCTCACGCCTCTCCGGCTTCGGGCACTGGGGCCTCTGTTGGCGTGTCCGGGGCGCCTCGTTCAGCCGGCCTCTATTCTCCCACAGGTTCTACTCACATTCTCACTCCCACCAAATTCCTCATGGACCTGAGACACCCCGACTTCAGGGAGTCCTCTAGGGTATCTTTTGAGGATCAGGCTCCAACAATGGAGTGAGAGCCAAAGAGACAAAGTAAAAGCAGCTTATTCCAGAAAGAAACTCTTCTGCTCTGAAGGGCTTTCTTTGATGATCTTGTCACTCTTTCTTTCTTTTCCTCTTTTTACTTTATCATTTCTTTGATTTCCTTTTTCCAAGAAAATGCTTGCAGTTCTTAACGCCGATTGAAAATGTGTTCAGTGCTGCCTTCACACCCTGGGCTCCATCCACCAACTCGCTCATGCCCTGGGTGAACGCTGCGCAGTCACTGGGGTTAAACCACGTGACAGTAGCCGTGTGACTGCTCCTCAGAGAGGAGACTAGGGTTAGGGCTGCCTGAGGCACAGTGCCCAGGCCTGCTGCCCAGGATGAAATGCAGGCTCCCACAAGGTATGTAAGCTTGAGAGTGAGACCAGCAGACATTCACAGGTGCGTTTCCACAGCACCTGTGGGTGAGAGAGGAGTGGCCAGGAGTGCAGAGGAGGCTCTGGGCCAGTGGAAGGCAGAGGGATGGACACCTTGGCTCAGGCAGGTCCAGTGCTGAGGGACGACTGCCCTCCAGCTGATGTAGGTTCTGTGACAACATTGCTCATCACGCCCCACGCTGCAGAAACTGCACTCTCTTGTTCTGCTTTTACTCCAGTCCACTGGGGCAGGCTGCCATCCCAGACTCAGCAGACAGAGGCAGGCCCAAGGCCCATCTGGGCTACAGAGTGAGTTCAAGACCAGCCTGGGCAATTTAACAAGGCTGTGTCTCAAAATAAAAAGTAAAAACATGGCTGGAGAGATAGCTCAGTGGTTAAGAGCACATAGTGCTCTTGGAGAGGACCCAGACTCTGTTCCCAGCACCCACATTCAGCCGCTCACAACCTGCTGTAATCCCGGCTCCAGAGCATCTGATGGCTTTGAACTCTGTGGGCACCTGCATGCATGAATGCACACTCACACTCTTACGCAAAATTCAAATAAAATTAAAACTTTTTTAAAAAGTAAAAAGAGGTCTGGGATGTGCCTTAGTGGTAGACAGGTTGCCTGGCATGAGTAACACTTGCAAGGGCAGGAAGAAGGGAAGGCATCACTTTCTGAATCTTTTGGAATTGAGCAGTTCTCTCTCTCTCTGTCTCTGTCTCTGTCTCTGTCTCTGTCTCTCTGAGGCCTCATGATAAGCTCTACAGCCCTTAGGGGAAATCTGTTCTTGATACCCGCAAGCTTGTTTCTCAAGAGCATCCTGTCTGTCTGGTGACTTACTAGACCCTCCCCACTCCTTTCATTCCATCCTTTAAGTGTGTTGGGGACTCTGTGTTAGTAATTCCTCAGTATTTTTACCTGTTTTATTATGGGCTCTAAAATGTCCTTTCAACATAAGTTGAGGTGTGACCCAGTGAGCCAGTAAGTTGGAGTGTCCTATAAGAGAGCGCCTGGCCATTGCCCCAAGGCTCCCTTGAGTCAGTCTGCATTTAGTAGATCAGATGCTGGCCTGGAGCCAAGCATACTTACCTCTAGCCTCCTGGTGCATCTCAGGGGCATGGCTCTTCTGAAGCTTGACTAGATACCACCAGAAGCTGGCTTGCTTAGTGTGGTTTCCAAGTTGCAAGAAGAAATAGTAGGCCACTCCATTTATCCCCACTTTCCCAGCAGAGAGGTATTACCTCCAGGGCAAGAGCTGTGAGCCAAGAAAAGGACTTGGGCATGGCCTGGACCTCAGCTCCATCTTCCCTGTGCTTGTCTTCCTCTTGGAAGCTTGGTCAATAGGTGGTAAAGCATAGAGGTGTGCTTCTGTCCACCAAGGCCTGAGGAGACAGAGGCACTCAGATCTCAAGTCCAAGGCCAGCCTAGTATACACAGTGTGCCTAAAAACGAAATAAACAAGCAGGACACGGTGACACTCTTAGGAGGCAGAGACAGGCAGATCTATGCAAGTTTGAGGGCAGCCTGGTCTGCATGAGAGTTCAAGGATAATCAGACTCTGTCTCAAAAATAAATAAATAAAATTTAAAGTATGTATCTCTAGAGGGAAGCAGGGAGACAAAGCAGTAGCAAGCCACAGAGCCCAAGTCAGTGAGGCCAGAGGCAGAGGAAAGCCATTCACCTGTGCTGTTGTGACAGTCCAGGTGACCAGAGAGAGTAGTGCAGACCATTAGGATGGCATAGTTTTGTAGCTTACCCTTAAGATGAGACCCAGACACAAAGGAGAGTGGCCCCAGCAAGTATGTGTCTGGAGATAATGCCTTTCTGGGTTTTCCTAGCTCCTCTTTCCAGTCACAGGGCAGCTGTGGGTCAGGGGAAACTTGACCATTGAAGAACCCCAATTCTCTCAAGCCTCATGGGTCACCCTCCAGACTGCCCATGAGTGAAGTCTGATGATTAGAATTTCACATTCTCAGGGCTAGAGAGACGGCTCAGCGGTTAGGAGCACTGTCTGCTCTTCCAGAGGTCCTGAGTTCAATTCCCAGCAACCACATGGTGGCTCACAGGCATCTATAATGGGATCTGATGCCCTCTTCTGGTGTGTCTGAAGAGTGACAGTGTACTCACGTACATTAAATAAATAATTTTTAAAAAAAAAGAATTTCACATTCTCACCTTGTGGTGCAGGTCAGTAGTACCAGTCATGAGGGGATGTCCAGGAAGCCATCAGAACAAATGAGAGAGGGGTTGAAGAAATGGCTTGGTGGTTAGGAGCACTGGCTGCTCTTCCAGAGGATCTGGGTTCAACTCCTAGTGCCCTCACCAGATCCTGTCACAGGAGATCCAGTGCCCTCTTTTGGCCTCATTGGGCACCAGGCACAGATGTGGTGCACTGATACATTGAAGGCAAAACACTCACGTATATAAAATGAAAGTTGTTTTTAAAAAGAAACAAAACCAAATGAAAGAACTCTCAGGCTAGATTAGACCTAGTCAGTGCACATGCTTATGAAGCTAGATTAGA